CGGCAAAGACAAAAAAAAAAAAAAAAAAAAACAGTAAGGTCATTAATAATGTTACAAAGCAGCACAACTCTTTTTGACACTGAAAATAATAAGAAATGTTATATTAGAGTGCATATTAGAGTGATTTCTGAAGGATTTCTGAGGACTGGAGTAATGGCTGCTGAAAATTCAGCTTTATTATCACAGGAATACATTACATTTTAAAATTAAAATAGAAAAAAAAAGTTAGAAAGTTATTTTTGATCAAATAAATACAGCCTTGGTGAGCATAAGAGATGTCTTGAGATGCTAGATCTTTAGCTTATGAATGCATTTAATTTGCTTAATCTTGAGTTTCCAAGTTGGAAATCCAACTTCCATTGTACAGAATACAACATTAAAGCAAGCAGATCTTTTGTAGCTGCATAATAGCAGCTGATTGGCTGCAGTTTGTCCTATTTAGAACCAATCAGAGTTTGTAGATCTGGGTCCTGAACCGATTATCTGCTTCAATCATATGTCTTCAAGAGCAAAAACACTGTTTTTTGCATCAAAATGTCAAGAAAACTGCAGAGATTTTATGGTTTGTCGCCGCATGCACTCAAGGCACTCTGCACGCACATTAGCACATTTGAATGACACTTCCCAATCAAGCCCTAACGTGTCCGTCTGCTAGCCCCTCCTCCTCTTCGCTCCTATTTGCGAGTGGGATTTCTGTGTGGGTTTGTTTACTGAATGCAGCCGTTGCTGGAGGCTATCAGGGCTGGATTCCCACATTACCTGCCAGTCAGTACCGAGACAAGGCAATGCTATGGCAACGCAGTCCTCTCTCATGGAGCCAAAAGGAAGGAGCACAGGGGCTTCACAAAAGAGGACAATGGCACACGCACACACATACCTACACAGAGCTGCTTACAAACGCATACGCACATACACGCTTCACCTCAAAGGAATCATTTCAGTGTTCTAGCGGTGTGTTCATTATGCAAATACAATCTTGTATTTAATGCCAGCGCATAAAAGACTGCGCCCACCAAGTCCGTCTGTGAATGCTTTCTGCGTAGACGGCTGGCATCCTGCTTCTCTCCCGCTCTCTGAGGCTTAGGAGCATTTTGTCTTTATTTATTTAGGACAATTTCTACATCATTAGTAATTTATTTAACAGGTTTAATTGGCCCGGTTGGAGGCGTAGGCTACAAGAGGGCTGCCATTGTCTGTTTGTAATAACAGTTATCCTGAAGACACTACTTCTGCCATGCTGAGGATTTTGGGAGAAGGTCTGCTAATAACAAACAGCACTCCGACGCTTCAAACTAAGACAGCCATGAGACGCCAGTCCAGTGAAAGGAAAAGTTCTGATCACAATGGTATCATAAATTTTCTTAATTTTATCTCATAATCCTAAAAAAAATAAAAATAATTAAATAGTCCAATTCAGTTTAGACCAGTTAATGTGCATGCACATTGCCAACAAACTCATCAAAAATGGGAAATGGCAAACTTAAAGGCGTACTTTCATTCCTAGAATCGCCATTTTTATTTTTCATGTATTTTTCCATGAGTGGTGTCTCTCCTGCTACTTATGTCTCTGTCTTTGCTCTCTGTTTAACTCCTGTTCACTTTCTCTCTCTGTAACCCATCTGTTGGCATTGTCTTCACTAATACATCAGAGAGGATGGGGATTTGCCAGGGCTGTCTGGAGAAAAGATGTGACTCGGTGGGATTGTGGGATTGTTACGTGTCTGCAGAAGCCCCTGCATATGAATGCAGCTCTCTCCATGCAGTCTACCAAAACAAACTTAAAAAAAAAAAAAAAAAAATCTTTATCTTTGTGTTTCTCTAGAGCTCCCAAGCTGCCAGACAGCACAAGAGCCACAAGCGTCAGAAAACTCTAAGGGTGTTCTTCAGTCCAGCTGTCAAATGCAAAGCCATCTAATGCAAATCACTGCTCCATGCTCACACACACACACAAGAGCGTTTGAACAGCGAGAACTTGACTTTAAAACAAGCTCATTGTTCAGATGACATGTATATTTTAAAAAGCAAAACAGATGCAGAATATACAAAGCTTTGCTTTCAGCCAGTGCATTCTCTTGTATAACAAATTCATACAGAGACATAGAAACAGACAGAAGTCCCACACACACACACACACACACACACACACACACACACACACACACACACACACACATACACACAGACACACACCAGGTCCTCCACATATTTGTTATGCACGGTGAGGTCTGGCCACAACTACACCCTGGAAGTAACACACATATGAGAGAGTCAACTTTCAATCAATAACAAGTTATTAAAAGGTTTGATGTCAGGTCTGCCAGCCGGCCAAGATTCCGTTCTGGTAGTGGGAAGGGTGCATTACAAAAGACAGGGTTGATTTAATCAAATTAAGGAATGGAGAGTGCGTCATTTCTTCAGCATGGTTCCAAAATGCATTTAAGATGCAAAGAGGAGGCAGGCTTCAACAGTACAAAAAAATTAGAAGCAAATTGGTCCAATTTTTAATAAAAGGCTTTTGATGGTTAAAAGTCAAAGCAAAAGTCAAAAACCTAAAGAAATGAAAACCATCAGCTCTACAGCAGAGCTTCAATGGGTGGCCAAATAAGCTGGCAACACAGCAAACAATACTTTTCTTAGTATTTTTGTCTTGTTTTCCAGTAAAAATATGTAAACATACTTTTAGGTGCTAGGCATACAAAAAAAGGTATGTAAAAAGCATAATTGCATAAAACTTTAAAAAGTTAAAATTATTCTTTATTTATTTTTAAGTTAATAAAAGTATTAATATGAATAATAAAGTCTTATTTCTTGTTTTAAAGTATAAATCCTTCCAATTTAATGCGGTTCATGCTCAAAACAAGAAAAAAAGCAATACAAATTTGTATTTAATTTAATTAAACAAACTTTAACAAAACTCATCATGCATCACTTTGTAAAAAAGACTTTTCATGAAAGATGGCTGTAGACAGTGAAGCACACAGCTTGAATTGTGAGATCAACAAGGTCACGATTTGCAAATGATATGCAAAACCAGAACAAATCAGTTTGAAAGGATGTGGTCAAAGTAAACGAATAGCTTGTTCACATTAAAAACACTCAAAAGACTCACATTTAGTGACGACTCCCTCCAGTCGGATGATATTGGGGTGGTCAAATTGGCCCATGATGCTGGCCTCACTCAGAAAGTCTCGCCTTTGCTTGTCGGTGTATCCTGCTTTGAGGGTTTTTATGGCTACGCAGATCTCGCGCTTTCCAGGCATCTTGAGACGACCGCTGCACACCTCCCCGAATTCTCCTTTAAATGGAAAAATCAGGCTTGAATCAGAAATGTCTGTGGTACATAATGACCCATGAGATATCTCTGGAACGGTGGGCTAACATTTCACTGTAACAGTTGTGGTCTAGCTACACTCAGTCTGAGGCAGACGAAAAGGAAACAGCAGGTCGTTTGCTCACCAATGCCGATGACCTTTTCGATCTTGATGCAGGAGGCATCGATTTCTTTAGCGAATTCACGGACTGCTTGGTTGGGGTCCTCATAGGTGAAGGGGTCCACATAGATTCGAACCCCTGTGGAGAGACAGAGAGAGGTGCCTACATGTTAGGAGGTTGAGAGAAGAGCAGGGGAGGATAGCTGGCAGACAGACAAAATGATGAATATACAACATCTGTTTTCCATTCTCCTTCCTCTCTTGTTGGCTTCTGCCTCTCCTCTACCACATTGAGAACATACAAACTTTGCTTCTTATATACAACTTTAACTTGGATGATAAATACATATTTGAGAATGTGTCATAGTGTATATGTATTTACATGGCCGCAGCATTACCTGGATGTAAATGCCTCTCCTCATCAGAATCCTGTTTGGCTTTGCTGTATTTGCTTCTCCTGTTAACAAAGAGATGAGAGGGATTATAATTCACATGAAAGAAAAATCACAAATGAGATCTCTTCAATGTCTAATTTTTTTAACAAGAATGAGATTCTTTGAGATTTAACAATGTCACAAAAAAAAAGAAAAGATTTTTGGATACCAAAGTGTGCAATTTAAAAGTCAGATGGGTAAAGTAACTTTTTTGTATTAATTTTTCCATAAATTATTTGACTTTTAACTATTAGTAAAACACATCCTAAAACAGGCTGTTCACCTTCAAGGTTTGTGATGAATGTTTTGTGTTAAAAAAATAAATAAATCAGACACTTAAATGGGAATAAATAAATAAACACATGCATACATATGTACATAAATTCTACAAAACACACACAAAGACTAACTGGCATGTGTGAGACACGGTGGGCCGGCACATGAAGGACCATCCTGTTCCAAGTCATTGAAGCAGGTCAAAGTTTTGAATAACCTTTTAACCTTTTCTTTAAAAGTGGGGCTGTAAAAATCTGTAAAGCTAATAAAGCTGCACAGAGAGAGAGAGTACACCATCAAAGTAGAAAGAAGGTCTGTTCATGAACCAAGTCCATTGGCCTTTCATCTGAAATAATTTAGAGATTGACAGATAAAGAACAAACAGGAATGAGGTAAAGATAATGACAGATGAGTAAACACAAACTCATCAAGTGGCCAAAATGGCAACAAAATCCCATTTGAAACCACTCCACCCCCTCCCCTAAAAACATCTCTCCCCGTCTGTCCACAATGACATAAAGGAGCTAGTATGCACCACCTTCAAAGTTCCCATTTCACCCAATCACCTGCTGACCCCTTTGGGCCAACCACAGACCCCTTGGCATGGGCGCAGGGAGCAGAGGAGAAGCAATGGAACGGATAACAACCCCACCCAGGAAGCTGCCCTAACCCAAGACTCCCTGCTGGGGATGGGGTCACCTGCCTGTATATAAAAAGGGGGGGAGCTCGGCCAGGAATGCACAACTGCTGTTATTGTTTTTCTAGTGCGTTCTGGCGTTGACAAAGGCCTCCAAGGTTCGGGGCTAGTGAAGGAAGAAAAGGTTAGAGGGAGGGAAAGGGGCATATCCACAGGTAGAACAGGAGGAAAAGGCCAGGCTTTAACGCCTGAGCGCTCCACAGAAGCTGGAAATAGCTCTGCCTGCAGGGGGCCATGCCTTCGTGGGAAGAGGCCCTGCCATCAGCCCGAACGGTCGGTACACGTTTATTTTAGGAACAAGGAGATTATCAGGTGTGCTATCCAAGTACCGAAGCGAGGAACCCACGGCTTTGTGCAAGGCTGTAACCTGCCTCCTCGCCTCCATGATCGAGCGGTTGGTGTCCCCTCAAGGTAGAGAAGAACGGGGCAAAGGTGAGAGCTACTTGGGATGTGTAGTCTTGTCTCCTGTTGAAGGGCTCCACTGAGGAAGTGCTTAATGGCTGCTTGGCCAAAACAAAAGTCCCATTCATTAGCTTGGATTGTTATTTTCACCCTGAATGAGGGAGATGCTTCTCTTCAGGGACTTTGAGGACGCGGAGATGATTATCTCAGCTGATAATAATACAATGTCAACCACTGTAAGAATAGACACTCTCACCCTGGTCTTGGGAAACTACAATCAGACACAATAGGAGGAGGCCTTATGAAAGGGAAATGTAGCTGATGATAACCATAGTGGAGTAAGAGTGTAACTGGGAGAGAGTTTGGCAAGGAAAAGTTGTTTGATTAAGGCAAAGCAACCATGACGTTTTGCCCGTGGAAGTATGACAGCCGCTCTGATTGAGTACAGTACAGAGACGTACATGTATGCGCACATACGCCGTCCTGCCGTGCTTCTCGGCTCCCTTGGGAATGGTACGTGTTCCCTACGTATTTCGACACACACGGCACAGAGACACGTAGCAGCACAGCGGAGACTAATCAGGCAGAGCTGCCAGTGGCCTGTCACAATACCACTAGCTACACCACAGGGAAAAAGAGAGCGAGAGAGCAGGAAAGAGGAGGAAGTGCCATGAGAACCAGACTGATGGACAGGTAGAGAGAGGGGAAGACAGCAGGAGCACAACAGATTGACTGATATAGGATGACAGACAGGGTGAGGGAGAGGTGATGGAGATGCCCACAGGGACAAGTGGAGAGATGGAGGAATCCTTCCAGATTCAGACAGTATCTGTGAGACGACTGACACCCAGTTGGGCCTGGTGGCTTACCTGCGGCTGATGATGAAGACTCCAATGAAGATGAGCAACAGAATCACACTGCCGATCACAGACACCAACAGCACGGTGGAGTTGGCACCATCTCCGATGATGGGAGAAGGAACTAAAAGGAGAAACAAGATTAAAGTTTATCTCAAATGTGTAATTCTCATTTAAAGCATCAGATTAATCTTGTCAGCCATTTTGAATTCTTATTGAAGAGCCTGGTTTCATTAGTGAGGAGCAAATCCTGTTTTTTTAAGTTGCTGAAATGACCTAGTATCAAATCTCCAAAACATTCCACTCGTTACAGAGTTACTTTAAAGAGCTTTTAAAAATATTTTTGTAGTCAGCAAACAAAGAAACTTGACAAGAAAAGGAAAACATACACAAAGGCTATAATTACGTTACTTTAGAGAAATAGTTTCCGAATGAATGGCTGATCCACCCTAAAACTCAACACCAGTCTCTAATTGTGGGAACAAAGACTTGACATTTGTCGGTTCAGTAACACGTACATGGAAACCTACCTGAATTGGTCATGAACTCGAAGGGGGCGCTGAAGTCTCCGTAGCCAGCAGCAGTGCGGGCACGCACATGAAACACGTAGGAGGTGAGCGGGTTCAGTCCTTTGATCTCAGCATTTCGTGACGAGGTCTTCATTATGCGATAGCTGCGCTCGTTTTGATCCTGATTGGATGAGAGAAACAGGAAATGTTGAACCAACTTGTGGGATTGGTCATTAGGATTGTTTTATTTGGAATCAAACACTGATAAAACAAAACGGAAGAGGGATTTGTTTAATATCTGACACAGAAACTACAGCCAGGCTTTTGTAGGGAAAACCACAGCCTCGTTGTACAAAAACAAGGTTGCCATCTTTGTTTTCGCTCGTTCCCTTGGGTGTAACCTGAATTTGCTTGTTCAAAATTCCCGTTTCATCACTAGATCCAAACCACTTAAACAATGTCGAGTTTGAACCAAAACAAGCAAAGAACTAAGTTTAATTTTTTTTCCCAATGTCCCCTAATGTTTGGCTTGTAATTGTTGGATCACGAAACAAGAACCTTTGTGTCTTGGTCTTGTGTGTGTGTCAGAGTGTGTTTGCAATGGAAAACCTCACAGTGTAAGGGAAAAGAATCTGACCACTGCTGCAATCTGTAATCAGTCAGCCAGAGGAAGACACAGCAGGAGCAGAGAGAGGAGAATGCTGTTATCCTCTCTGTATCCCAACGGCCTGCATGTCCATCCACCCCATGCTGTTCTGACCCGCCGGTTCACCAGACTCCTGCTGCGAGTGTGAGAGAGTCTGGTCTGGCCATGAACTAAAATGCAGCTCTCTCGTTTTGATGTACCTGACATGTTAAAGACTTAAGTGAAGGCTTCACCTTGATTGCTACATCTTAATCTGCAGTTTCAAAGAAGCATCTCTCCCATTTGGAGTTCCTAACAAGTAAATTATGTAACTAGGCCTAATCCTGAACTACATTTTCCAAAGTTCATCCCTCATCCCATGCTGTCAGGATGAGAAACCTCACGAAACACATGCAAAACTGAATGTTTCCAACCAGCATGGTCATGGTGAAGCAGGTTGACCAAGCTGGTTAAGAAGCCTTGTGGGGCTGCGCACTCACATCCAAAACACAACATATGCTGGTGACCAGCTATGCTAGTCTTTTCAGCATGGATAATCTCATCAGGGGAAAATTTTGGAAACTACTTTCCCATGAATCTTCTCACCTTCTCATAGTACTTGACCTCGTACTCAAGAATGACTCCGTTGGGTCTCTCAGGCTGTTGCCATGCCAAAGACACAGCGTGTCTGGTGATGTCCTTGGCTTGGATGGTGGTAACTGGAGAGGGAGCTGGAGAAGGAGAAAAACACAAAGAGAAAAAGCTTAATATTGCTAGAGCACCCCAAACGCCCAGTTGTTTCAAAGAAACATTAACATGTTAGCGCCATAAATCAATGAGGAGGTATGATATTCGAGATATTTGAATTGTCATACTGAGAAAACCTGAAAAACAACTAAACACTGGAAGCTACGCAGGTTAGCATCTGAAAATGTAGTGATTACAGCTTCGTAACTCCCAGAAAAAATGTTGAATCACCAAAGTGAAGTGCCCATTATATGATCATTCAAGATCCAATATGAGAATCACTCAAGTGATTCTGATTTTTTTCTTTCTCTAATAATTTCACTTTGCTACTACAGAAGGTCAATTGATGCAGTCATCTAGGGAGCACATGCTTATCTGTAATCTTTAGGGTTTTTATCAATGACACTCTACAGCTGCCAAAGGGGAAGCCAGACCATAAAATGATCCTGGCTCAATTCTTCAGTGCAGATGAAAATTATGATTATAAACAGATGAGTGTTTAATATTTATATTTGCTTGATTATTACATTTCCTGACAAAAATCAAGAAAACTTGCTGCTACACAGTTCCAAAGCTTTTCTGAGTGGCTGCATAGGCAACAATAGGTGGTTACTGGGGTGTTAAAACCACTCACGCAGTTGCTAGGGGGAGCTTGGTGGTTGCAAGAACAATCTCAGGTGCTTTCTAGGGTGTTCTGAGTTTTTTTTTTTTTAAGTGTTACTGTGCAGCTGGTAGTGTGTTCTGGGTGGTGGCTAGAAATAGTAAAAATATTTATACTGATATGAACTTTAGCAAGCACCAATTCTTCAGTGCTGTAGGGCAATACCTGCTCAGAGTCCCAAAGAACAGACGGTCAGGAGTGAAAGTCTGTTTGAAGAGTGTACAGACAGGTGTGATGGGTATTATAGTCAGAGTTCACCAAGACAATGATGGTGAGAAAGACCTTTGAAAGACCCCACTCCTGGGGGCCCTACACACAAAATCCCCAAAGCCAGACAAAAAGGCACTTCCTGTCTCACGCTTTCTCAAGAACCCGAAATTAAACACCTTGTAAAAGTTAATAGTCCACTCAGCGCAAACAAATGTGAGCAGCCAACAAATGCACATATGCGCAATTTAACCCGACACGCGGTTTACTGTCATAAAAATTCATTCTGACAGACACAGACAAGGAGTAATTAGAAATGTCTCTGTGGTGATATAAGACAGAGCACTTTCACAGATGGGAAGCTGATTACCGACTTGATGACTATGTTCTGTATCAGACTGTGGTGACAAATTCAACACATCAGCCTGTGACCAGATCACATGACGACATCAGGCTGGTATTTAATGAAGTCATAATAGTGGGAATATCATGTTCAACAATTATTTGTGAACATAAACCACACACTTACCCGCTTGGTTGGTGGTAACCATCACAGACACCGCCTGTTCTGGTCCGGAACTCTGCTTGGAGACCCCATTGACTGCCCAGATCTCAAAGGTGTAGTTGGTGTGAGCCTGCAGGTCGTTTATGGATACCCGGGTGGTGCGTAGGCCCAGCTGCTGAGGGGAAAAATGGATGCCGTTGCCGCAGGGCTGACAGTGCTGACCGTCAGAACTGCACCGCTTGCAAATGACGTTGTAAGCGAGGTCCTGCCTGCCACCGGAGGATGCTGGAGCAGTCCACTCCAGATTCACAGAGGTCTCGTTCACATTGGAAATAAGGTGCTGAGGAGCAGATGGGGGCTCTATGAAAAGACAATTTTGGAAAAAGAAACACAGTTTAGATACATTATGACAAAATATGCACATGATTTATGTTTCGTTTCCGCTACAGTGATGTCTGGAAGTTTTGGAACAAACAAAACAGGATTATGACTGTGGCAGAGATTGATCTCAAAATACACCCTTGGCAAGGGAATCTTCAATGGCAAACAAATACAAACCCACACACACACAAACATACACAAACACACACACACACACACACAAACACCCTTTTATTGCCACTGCAGGCAGATTATGTTACAGCCTATGACGGATACAAGTCTGTCTGTGTGTTTGTGTGTATTTGTGTACATTTGCGCTGTTTTTTCTCCGTGGTGTTTTTGTAAACCAGGCGCTGCTGAATTTAAAGATAATTACATTTATGACAAACCAGCACCACAGGCGACGCAGTGCTAGCTGTGCAAAAAGGAAATACACTCAACCCACCACACACACACACACACACACACACACACACACACACAAACACCCTTTTATTGCCACTGCAGGCAGATGATGTTACAGCCTATGACGGATACAAGTCTGTTTGTGTGCTTGTGTGTATTTGTGTACATTTGCGCTGTTTTTTCTCCGTGGTGTTTTTGTAAACCAGGCGCTGCTGAATTTAAAGATAATTACATTTATGACAAACCAGCACCACAGGCGACGCAGTGCTAGCTGTGCAAAAAGGAAATACACTCAACCCACGAGAGAGTGAGAGAAAGAGAGAGAGAATGATTACATCTCCATAATTGAGCAACTTGCTGATAGGGATCTCATAAATGCTAATTTGGTCGCCCTCGTTGCAATTTCTGGTATAGCAATGACGTTCTCATCATAAATATCGTTCTCTAAATCAGCAATCCCAGGTTGACTTTCTCACAAAAGTTGCCCGGAGGAATATTTTATTGCTAGGAGGTTGCTCTTTTATTGCTCAGGAGACTTAATTGAGCTCTCGGTTATGTTATATTAAAATATGAACTTGAATATAGAGGTTTATCCTAAAATTCCTGAAGAGAAATAAATATAGAAAGAAGAACTAGAATTGTTAACATAAATTATAGTGTTTTTATATTATTAGAAAATTAATCTGGGTTTTATAGAGCAGATAATTTGTAAAGTCTGGATGAGAAATGTCTAAATTCAGATTGAAATCTCAAATCTTGACAGTCTGAGACACTGTTGAAATCTCTTTTGAAACTCCAGATGATTTGAGGTTGTTAGAGTCTTTATATCATGATGAAATCTGAGGAGCAAGAGATATCCACCTTATTTTTCGATGTGGGAGCAAGTTATTTCCTGTGAATGTGCGAGACTTCTGACACATTAGCTGCAATAGGTAAATAACTAAAAGAATAACAAAGTTCAGTAAACTGTAAAACTATTTACGCTACAAAGTAGTGTTTGTGATTATGATAATTAAAATAATAACAAATACCAGTTTGCAATAAAAATCATGACAGACTGTTTTTGCACAGGAAACATTGCACATTCGAATTTAACAAATGCTCTTATGTAAAAAAAAAAAGTCTCTGCATTTGAATCTCATTGCTGTCATGAAGAAACAAATTAAATTTTAATGCTGAAGTGTGTCTCCTCATCTGCTATTTGCTAGACAAGCAGGTCTCGCTTCCAAACGACACAATTGATTAAGCCAAAGTTGGCATATTTAGCTGGTACTTTGTAAAAAAAGATTACTCACTTCACTTTATAAAAGATCTCATTTGAGATTTGTCATTCCTATGGGTGGTCTCAACAACCACATGCCCAACATCAAACTCGAAAAAGTGAGTGAAGAGTACAAACATTCAAACAGGATGTGTCTCATTATCCCTCCTTGAGGTCTCCCCATATGGCAAAAGCCATTTTCAAATATCTCCATATCCTCCAAATCATTTAAACACTTCAAAGACATATCTGACCTAGGTCTGGATTAGATTGAATTCCTCCTGGCTGAGCTTTAAGTGTAAATGGTCTTTAAACTCTGTTTAACCTGTATTAAGTATGGCTGCTGTACCCACCCGGCAGACTGGGGTGAACTGAGCACGCTCCCACGGTGGCTCGGTGCCATACGCTCCGTGATTGACAGGAGCTGATTAAGTCGACTGGCTTCGCTGCATTTTAATACGATAAGGTGAGAGAGAGAGGCTCGGCTCAGCAAGCGTAATGGGGTCGTTTCTCTCGCACCTCTTCGCTGTCTGTCTCCCCACTTTCTCGCATTTCGCTTTTTTCCCTCCCTTGCTACCTAGCGCCTTTTTATCTCTTTTTTTTGCGTGCGCTGTTAGTGAATTGGCTGTTGAGTATGTGACGGGTGCTTCTGGGTGAACGACAGACGGCGATATGAAAGAGAGCTCCAATTATAGAGGCTAGAGAAAGGAGACAGAAGCAAGAAAGACAATCCGATATGTAAAATGCACGTCCGGACGCCTGATACTGTAGGTGCAAGAGAGCCCTTTCCCCACAACTGCCGCCCCTGATCATTCAGATCTGGAAACCCCATTAAATCTGACACCATGAACACATCTGGCCTGGGTGCCTCTCTGCCCTTTTCCCAGAGATCTTTAATAAATTTATCACATAATGCTTGATAATGAGCGTGCGTGTGTGTCTGCAAAAACCTGAGTGATTCATAGGTGAGAAAGACCGTGTCATGCACGACTTGACGTGTATGTTCGTTTTTTACGATTAACCCTGTCGTCTTGGCTCAGAGCTGTGGCGCGTCGACTGCCGGCGCTTCGATGCAGGTCTCTATTTAACAAGCAGAACACTGTTATCAAGTCTATGGCTCACCTCAGGGTCTGACACACATATCCATCTTTACTCATCATGACAGGGCTCCTCCCAACTCACTGCTACACACACACATTTTCAGTCAGCCACAAAACTTTTTGATTAGGCAACGCAGGAATAAAAGACACAAAATAGCATCCGCTACAATTAAACATCCAATAATTTGTCACTGTCAAACACGGTTTTTGTCCTTAACCTTTAGGAAAACAGCTCCACTGGTGTGTGAAGTGAACAGCTGCAGTCTGATACAAGTCCAGGCGGTGCTGGTTCTCCTGAGTGATATGTGCTTCCTCAATTCAAATCCCTGACCTGGTCTAATGATTACTCATGTCCAGGGTGGTTTGTTTATGTCTGTGTTTAGTCTCACGTAGCCAGACTTTTGACTCCAAGCATAATCTGGTCCACATTACAGCTTATTCTAGCCAAGAACGGCACACAGAAAGAGATCATCTGACTGATGTGTTAGAGGTCAGTATTTTTCTTTTTTCAAGAAATCAATTCTTTTATTCAGCAAGGATGCCTTAAATTGATTAAAACTAACAGTACAGTCATTTATGATCTTACCAAAAATTTTATTTTAAATAATTGCTGTTCTATCAAGTTTTCCACAAGTACATTATGTAGCACAACTGTTTTCAACATTGACAATAATAAGAAATATTTCTTGAGCACCAAATCAGCATATTAGAGTGATTTCTGAAGATCATGTGATACTGAAGACTGGAGTAATTACATTTTACAATGTATTGAAATAGAAAACTTGAAACTCAAAAATAATATTTCAAAATATTACTGTTTTTACTGTATTTTTTAATCAAATAAATGCAGCCTTGGTGAGCATAGTTAGTGTGAACCCAGATAAAGTGTGTAGAGTGAAATACACTTACGTGTGCATGGCATAGAGGCAGGGTCTGTCTCAGACCTGAAAAAGCCTTTGTCACAGGCACAGGAAGTGGATCCCTCCCTAATGGAGTAACTGTGCAGGGGACACTTAGAGCAGATGTCGTCTGTAGCCAGTGCTCTGTAGTAACCGATCTTACAGGCTGTGAAGAGAAAGAAAGTGAGAGAAAATTGAGACGTTAATGATCATGAACTATTTAACATATGCTGCTACAGTAGCTCATCCTTTTGAGATAGAACTCTTAGTCTTGCACCTCCAGCTATCATAATGACACTCTGTGTGTGAGTGTTTATGTCATGCCTGTGAACACACTGTAAGGGAGTGGTGTGGAATGTCTGAATGACAGACAGCAGTGCACGGCTTTATGACACTCTAATGAAGAGAGGAAGTGATACTAGAGGAATGCACTGTCATTAATCCGAACACCCAAGCCAAGCCCTTTCTCTCTCCCTCTCCGCATTTGTTCTATAGCTCTTTTTTCTCGTTCAATCTCTTTTCAAGTTTGTCCGCTTTCTTTTATTTCTCGCCCATTTTTGTCCTCCCTCCAGCTTTATTCTTTTCGTCCTTTGTTTGTTTGTCTTTCTACTTCCTTCTTTTTTTCTGTTGCTCCTTCTAATATGCCACACACACACACACACACACAGCATAATTTCCTATTTATGGTGACAGAGACAAAGGAATGCTTTGAGGTCTTTTATTGACTTTTTTCTCTACAAAGCCATCGATACCCGCACAAGTACAGATAGCATTTGAACATGAATAAAGCCACTACTTATGACATTTATCTAAGAGTTTATTGACCTGTAGATAGTTTACAGATGTGTTTCCCTAAAAGGTCCTATCAATATAAACGCTCCATGTGGAATATCACAAATCATAATAATGCTCTTAGCGATAATCATGCATGCTTTAGCAAAGCAATATGGGAAAGAAACACAAGGCTTTTATATGACAAATAGGACAAACAAGCTTTCGTGTGTCGAGAGGACGGCCCTTAAAGGCTTTGTGTGCCATTCACTTACATTCATATGAATGCGAACAAATGTGAAGAATATTTGTCTTTCACTGCCTACAAAAGTTTGGGTTTGGTGAACTCTGACCTGCAAGTTCGTAAAGAAAAAAGACGTTAGACCAACAGAGGATCTGAACGTCACAGACTGGCCTCTTGGGTGAAAATGGGGAGAGCATGGGGGAAACTCTCATTTTGGTGGTTTTGCATCAATAATAGTATGAAAGAAAGGGAACTTCAATTAGGAACACACTCATTGATGTTGTAGAATTTTTTTTTTAAGTTTATACTTTTTTGTCAATCATTTGCATTCCTTTCAATCAAATGCTTTACAGTGAATTTAGGCATCAAAATTTGAAAGATTAATTTTGAGATCTGCTAAACTATGACATTTAACAGTATTATGGATTTTTTATTAGTATTAAGCACTAGATGATATAAAAAATAGCAATACAAAAAAGAATTAAAAACAATAATATAAAAAAATATTTTACAAAATTAAATTAATTAAAATTAAATTAAATATTTTCTCATATGTAAAATCTAGTGTGATTGCCCTTTTACACTGCTCCTAACCAGTCATGAAGCCACAGTGAAAAATATAGTCCAATCCAAAATATAGATCCATATTAAACATGAAATACATTCTAACTGTATGTCATACCGTTACTTCACACAGCATTTTCACTTCAAATGAGGACAGAAAAGTTCCCTGCATTTCACAAATATAAAGGACAGTCAAGATGCAGGAGGTCAAGACCAGTGTTGGGGGTAACACATTATAAGTAACGCGAGTTACGTAATCAGATTACTTTTTTCAAATAACTAGTGAAGTAACACATTACTTACTTTTTAAAATAAGTAATGCAAGTTACTTTGTTTTCCCATTTATTCACTGACTCCTCTACTGCCCCCGTGTTAAGATAAATTGAGAGTGACGTGCAGAGGCAGAGGCATTTCCTTCAGGCTGAGGTTTATTAATTTTACTTTTGGTGTGAAAGGGCCTTTACAGTTGCCAAAAATATAACTTTTGGGTTTTTTGTTATTAAAATTCATATTCATAAGCAAGCCCAGCTCAGGTGACAAAAAGTAACACAAAAGTAACAATGCGTTGCTTTCCATAAAAATGAAAGAAGTAATGCAGTTAGTTGCTTTTTTATGGAGTAACGAAATATTGTAATGGATTACTTTTAAGAGTAACTTTCCCCAGCACTGGTCAAGACACAGTACTTCAAATAACTTTCCCTCATCACTCTCTGCCTTCTTCTCTCTTAATTTCTCTCTCTGCTGGCCAATTTTTTTAATCTCACCCTGGGGCCGCATTAGCGCTCACCCTCGGGAATCACCACCTTCCACTCTCCTCCATTTCTCCGTTTTATCTCTCCCCGCATCACAGTCTGCCCAGGGGCCAATCACTCGCAATCAGCCACAATAGCACGCTTGATCAGAGGTACATCTTCTGAGAGGAGATTAACACAGTTTTGTCATTTTATAAACAAGACCCATAAAACAACAGTAGGGGGTGAGAGATGGAAAGACAGAAAGAGCTCAGGGAGAAGAGATGCAGCCCTGGGTCACGACCTCCACTGGACGGTGTGCTTTGTTGCCATGTGTTGGAGGGGAATGATGGGAATTAGAGCTGGAGGTTTCATCTGATCAGCTTTGGTTCATCTTAACGCTGGCTGGAGGACAGAGTTAATTGAAGAGGATTCTTGGGAAGCTTAAAACCACGGTAGCAAACTGGAGGTGTGTTCAAGAGACCTCAAGTGCAGGAGCTTCGATCTTGTTTATAAGCGAATGCACTCGTTGACTTGTAGCACTTTTCTCAAACACTTAGGATATCTAACACCCTCCACCTGCTTAAGAGCCTGAGTGTTTTCTCAGTCCCAGCCCCTTACGGAAGACGACCAGCTGTCCCCTCCCTTCCTAAGTCCTCCATCCTAGGTCCCTCGTGAGACCCCTAACAGCTCCTGGTTTCAATTCCACACACAGCTCTCATCCCCCCCTACAGATCTGACCTTTCCACTCTCTCTCCATGAAGCCTATGACAACTGGGCTGGACAATAGCAGGACAATGACGGTCTCATTGTCCACTCTGGTGGACAATTGAAGAGATGAGCTTACTGCCTGTGACATAATAGGGTCGTAATTACCAGCCCATGCCCCAATATTCAGGGTCAGCGCTCTCGTCCTACCGTCCACCATGAGGACAATGTTCATCTCAATGACGACATCTCAGACTGAGCTCTGAATGCTTTCTGTGGGCTTTAGACCTTAAAACAGTCACCTGTTGTCTTGCATAGAAAGACAAAATGCAGGGTGGAGTTGAGGACAAAAGCGGATCGGGGCATTGTGTTGGGAAGCGAATGAATTATCGAATTCTACAAGGTATGTGTGTCGGTTTATGAGTATTGAAAGATGTTCCAGGTGGGACAAAAGGATTTCAATTAGATGCATGTAATCCGAGGATGTTCGGCTGGACACGTAAAGAGGTCTGATGACACTTGTGTCAAAATCGGTGGTTTCTATTCAGATGATTGCAAGTAAATAAATAGCGGACAAAGAGGTAAAACTGCAGGAAAAATAAATAGAAATGTGAGGAGAAGTAGAAAGAAAAGAACGAGAGAGGGGGACAGGAAAATGAGAGGGAACGGAGCTTCAGCACTGGGTGGTCTTCAGAGTGTGTGTGTCCTCTCGGAAATTCAACACTGACTTAACTCTGCCAGGTTATATTTCTCTCCTCACACACACAAGTGAAGTGAGACTCTTTCCATCTATATCACTCTCTGTTTCGGCCCATTTTTTTCTCCATCACCTCCTGACACTGTTATGAATTTAATTTATGCAAAAAGCAAAAAAAAAAGAATTATGTAAAAACAATTTTTGCATCAAATTTCAATCTTGTGTTCAAGAAAACAAAATTCACTTCAGGGGAAATTTGAGCAAAACAGAAATTAAAACGGGGAACAAGGAATCTATTCAGTAAATGTGCTTTCATACAGGTGCATCTCAATAAATTAGAATGTCATGGAAAAGTTAATTTATTTCAGTAATTCAACTCAAATTGTGAAACTCATGTATTAAATAAATTCAATGCACACAGACTGAAGTAGTTTAAGTCTTTGGTTCTTTTAATTGTGATGATTTTGGCTCACATTTAACAAAAACCCACCAATTCACTATCTCAACAAATTAGAATATTTCATAAGACCAATAAAAAAAAAAATTTTAGTGAATTGTTGGCCTTCTGGAAAGTATTTTCATTTACTGTACATGTACTCAATACTTGGTAGGGGCTCCTTGTGTGCACTGAATTTATTTAATACACGAGTTTCACAATTTGAGTTAAATTACTGAAATAAATGAACTTTTCCACGACATTCTAATTTATTGAGATGCACCTGTAGTGGTTTACGTGAAGGTCTTAAATAATAATAATAAATATATATTTTTTCTTGGTATATTAAATTTTTTTCCGCATGTTTATATCCAGCATTTTTTATGCATTATCCCATAAGTGCATTAAAAATATGTTGAAACCCAGAAATGTGACTGAGAAATTGATTAGAAGTTGAGCATATTGGACAATTTGGCTGCTTCTCTGAAGAATAAGAAAAAAGAAAGTTCACACACACACACACACACACACAGACTCACTTGCCGAAGGCAGTGAAACTGAAGTCAAGACTTGTGGGTTTGCTAATGGCTAACATATTTATGACACTTTTATGATGCTGGCTTATCTCTGAAACCACTGCTCAGGAGGATCAACAGCAGCTAATCCACCTCACACACACACACACACACACACACACACACACACATTCACATTATCTCATGAATTACCAGGTTCATGTCAGAATATCAGGGACTTTTCATGACATTTATGTAGTTTATAGCCTTTTATGCAGTTCTTTGCTTCTCCTTGTCACTTCACAGACTTGTTATTTTACTCTAAACAGAATATAGACCATTAAATATTAAATACATTCTACAGAATGTATTTTTATATATATTCACATTTAAACAAATGTTGTTCTTATATGGTGTGTATACATATTACTTCCACAAAATGCTGCAAGTTGTCTTTTCAAACACTGCTTTCACTGCTTATCTGATGCTATGCCTGAATG